AAACACAAAATTATAAATATATCTATGTAGCCCTCGGTCACCATTATATCTTAATCTCCATGCATACAGAAAGTTGAATCCTCTTGCCTTCCACCTGAGAGAGCTTCCCTTCCTCAGTCTTCCACCCTAAGAAAAGCCACTCTGACCTGCCTCTCATATAGGCCCTAACATGTGTAATATCTAACTGTGACATACTCAAAGAAGACCCATTGAAATCAAGAGGTTTGATTAAATTAAGTCCATTGCTTCCAATGGACTCCAGTGTTCTTCAGTTTGGGGTTCCCAGATGTTGCTGGCACAACAGATCCCATCATCCCCAATCAGCTGAGTAAATGGGTAGTGATAATGGGAGTTGTCGTCCAGCAACACCTGGGGACCTAAGGTTGAAGAACACTAACCTACTCTTGAGTTTGACTTAGTTGGATACTAGATAGATAGATAGATAGATAGATAGATAGATAGATAGATAGATAGATGATAGATAGATGATAGATAGATAGATAGATAGATAGATAGATAGATAGATAGATAGATGATAGATTGATAGATGATAGATCGATAGATATAGATATAGATATAGATATAGATATAGATATAGATATAGATATAGATATAAATAGATAGATAGATGATAGACAGACAGATAGATAGATAGATGATATAGATGATAGATAGATAGATGATAGATAGATGATAGATATAGATGATAGATAGATAGATAGATAGATAGATGATAGATAGATAGATAGATAGATAGATAGATAGATAGATAGATAGATAGATGATGATAGATAGATCGATAGATAGATCGATAGGTAGATGATAGATACATAGATAGATGATAGATACATAGATAGATAGATATAGATGATAGATAGATAGATGATAGGCAGACACAACATACACACACACTCCCCTGTGTTACTCCCCTCCCCCTGTCTAAAATCAAAATGCAGGCTCCTGGTTAATTATCTTGGAAGTGCACTTCAAATATTAGGTAAACACTACAAATGAGATGTAAATGAAGGCAGCAGAACAGCTGTCAGCTTGCTAGCTGATTAATTTTCTTTAGAAGTCACAACAATTATGCTCCACCATACTGCCCACTCCTTTTCCTCCTCTTTCCATCACCCATTTAAATTCCACAAGAAAATAAGAAGAGCCTCCTTGGAGAAGGCTAACCAGATGGCAATGGGAACCCCACAAGCAGAACCTGAGTGCAACTGCAATTCTCCCACTTGTGAGTCCCAGCAACTAGTAGTCAAGGACACTGGTGGTAGGGTATGGCCATTGTGAATAGTAAGGTGCAATTGTTGCTTTGGGGGTATGAAGTTCCTCTGTCCTGTTATTCAGTTTTTATTATTTTTCTTCCTAGTTTGAGTAGCTCCTTAGCTTTCAATTCAGCTAGTCTAAAGCGTTTTCAGCTTGGAACTTTCTTTTCTTGAAGCAAGGACATCATATTAATAATAATAATAATAAATTTTATTTATACCCCGCCCTCCCCAGCCAAGACCGGGCTCAGGGCAGCTAACACCAAATATAAAAACAATTGATTGAAATACAGCTTAAAAACAAGATTAAAATACAATATTAAAACATTAAAATGCAGCCTCATTTCAGTGGAAATACAATCAAAAACTGTTTTGGGGATAAAAACATCAAGTCTTCACCAAGGCTAACTATCCAGACTGGTCCTACATGGGCCAGAAAAAAGCCAGGGAAGTCCCCAAATAGGAGTTCCAATTGTAGCTGCTCTTTATGCATCAACCTAAAACTGTGCCAGGGACGCGGGTGGCATTGTGGTCTAAACCACTGAGCCTCTTGGGCTTGCCAATCAGAAGGTTGGCGGTTCAAATCCCCGTGACAGGGTGCTCTGTCCCAGCTCCTGCCAACCTAGCAGTTCGAAAGCATACCAGTGCAAGTAGATAAATAGGTACCGCTCCAGTGGGAAGGTAAACGGCATTTCCATGCCCTGCTCTGGTTGCGGTGTTCCGTTGTGCCAGAAGCGGCTTAGTCATGCTGGCCACATGACACAGGAAAACTGTCGGCGGACAAACGCCAGCTCCCTCGGCCTGTAAAGCGAGATGAGCGCCGCAACCCCTGAGTCGTCCACGACTGGACTTAACTGTCAGGGGTCCTTTACCTTTTAAAACTGTGTTTGGTCCACGCCACCGTAAACTCCCCAGGCTTTCAGTGTTTCCTAGCGGTATTTCTCCCTGTGACATACAGCAGGGATAAGAAGCTGGCGGACCTCCGGTTTGTTGCCTATCTACAACTCGCATCATCCCTGAACCAGCTAGTTGGGGCTGATGGGATTTGGAGTCCAGCATCATCTGAAGGGTGATTGGCCAATGAAGGGGTTGAAATGCACAAGGGGGCAAAGAACAGTCATGCATCCATTACCACCTGTGATGGAATCCACCTATCCAACCATGTCAGCAGAAGCCCTGCACAAAAACATCCACTTGCACCATGGGGCTTTCCCACCTCCCCCCCCAATTGGCTTGAAGTGTGTGTGTCAAGAGTGTCAGCATCGCCCTTGAGCCAGTGCCACCAACTGGACTCACACACTTCAGCCCCGACTGGGCCAGGCAAGCTGGGGTAGCACTTCCAGAGACCACCTTCTGCACAGGAACAGGTCAAAGTGCTGTGGACTCACAGCTTAGAGTTGTGAGCACTGGATTCACTCCAGCAAGAAGACAGTCGTCGCACAGCAGAGTACAGCAGAGTATAGCAGAGCATAAACGACTCAGAGAGCAGCTCTGTAGAATATCTTCTTTATTCTATCTACAACTATAATACACAACTATGTACAGGGCTAAATGAGGTCTAAGCGAAAATGCTGAACTGCACTCAGTGTCTGTAGCTGCTCTTAGCAGCAACCTTATCTATACACACGATCTCTCTCTAACACTCAGTCTCTCTCTATCTCTTTGATGAGGCTGGAGCGAAATAAGTAGAGAGCAGAAAACGCCCCCTCCTCTCTGGAGAATCAGCAGAGAACATCAGCAGATTCTTGGATATGGGAGGGGTGAAATCTCCTCAAAGAGAACCCCTGGAACAGCATGCAATCGGAGGAGAGGAGGAACCATTCTATCTCGCAATGTAAGGGACTGGGCAGAGGAGGAATGGTGGAGACTGCCTCCCCATCCTGACCCTTCCAGGGAGGAGGAAGAGGAAAACAGTACAGTGGTATCTTGGGTTACAGACGCTTCAGGTTACAGACTCTGCTACCCCAGAAATAGTACCTCGGGTTAAGAACTTTGCTTCAGGATGAGAACAGAAATCGCATGGCGGTGGCACAGCAGCAGCAGGAGGCCCCATTAGCTAAAGTGGTACCTCAGGTTAAGAACAGTTTCAGGTTAAGAACGGACCTCCGGAACGAATTAAGTTCTTATCCAGAGGTACCACTGTATAGATTTACAACAGGGGTTTGCAGGAGGTCGTAGCTCAGAGGCAGATGAGGGGGAAAGCTGGGAAATAATGGGAGAGAAGGAGTAGCAGGTGGCTGACATGTTGTCACTAGAAAGCATTCCAGACCCTCCATCTCTCAGAACCTGGCGAGCCTTAAAAGCAGGAGAGCAAAGAGCTCAAAGACAGAGGGCATGTAGCAGCACCTGTAGAAGTGACGAATGAGGAAGTGGGAGAGACGGGGGGGTGGAGATTCACTCAGGACAATGCCATTATCCAAGAGGCTGGGTTCTATAGCCTCTCTCTGTAAAGACTGAAATAAAAAGGACGGTAAGAAACTTTTCCTTGTCTTTATACTTTCCTGGGTAACCAGCCAGGAGCCGCAAACAGCATCCTGACACGCAAGCTGCTTGCAGAGGCAGAACAATTTGAAGAGCCCAACATTGAGTTAAACTCATGGGATTAAGCAGAATTGGTCATAGTCACTGGTTGCATGAGACCACAATATCTTTGGGCACACTTCCCATTCCCACTTTAACAATCGCAGTATACTCAACCAGTTGTCATAGCTGTCAAGCGTCCCTTATTTGGCGAGACAGTCCCTTTTCCCAGCACCATGTCCTGCTGCTGTCCCTTATTGATGATGTCCCTTAAATTTCCCAGGTTTCAAAGGAAGCAGCTCCTCTCCCTCCCTCCCTGCCGGCCAGGGAGGAGGGAGGCTCCAACTGTGTTGCTTGGCTGCGTTGCTCACCCAATAAGGAGTCTAAGAACGACTGGGGGGTGGAGCTTGCATGCCTTGTGCCAATCAAATCGGTCGCGTTGCCTGGGGACTCGCCTTTGCTCAGCACTTCCCAGCGGAGAGGTGACAGTGGTTTTCCTTGCTGTATCCCCCTTTGCCGGGTTGCTGCGCTGTGGGAACCACCACTTGAGGCTTCATTTGGCTGCTAGTTGACTAAAATCCCTTATTTTGGCTGCTGATCCCTTATTTTCAAGGCTGCTGGTCCCTTATTTTCAAATCTGTAAGTTGACAGCTATGCCAGTTGC